GATAACAAGCAATCAATCCAGAGAGCATATAGATTGTGCCTTTAGAAGGCTACATTTGTATGCACTGCTTTTCCTAGTTGTGCTTGAAGAGATATTCAAGTTGACTGGCAGAGCAAGTCAGAATGCCACCTATGCTTATGTTTGGCAGAGGCCATCCATACCTGTCTGGTTCAATACCAACAAGAAAGGGTGCATGCAAACAAAAGTAATTTATCAGTGGGCTCCTTCCACCCCTGGGGTTAAATCCAACATTGCATTTGTTGAATTTAGCACAACAAGGTTTCCCCCCATTTCTTCCTTTCCACCCCCCTCCCCGGCCTCTGTGATACCCTAACTCTGCTCTGAAGACTTTGCCAATCCTCTGGAGTAGATTTTGAGCAAGCTCAGGTAGGAGGGGGCATCACTTTCCTCCCTGTTCTGTCAGTGTAACAGCAGTGCTGGATTTAACCTCCTACGTTCCCACATACAGACAAGTTGGTCCCTTCAGCTTCCTGACAGGGCTGAGCCACACCTAGCTCCATAACTTCAAGAACACCCACTGCAAGGTTTATGGAAGATGAAAAAAAAGTCAAAGAGTAGAGGCATTGTACAGAATGTGCAAAAGTATTCAAGAAAGCAGCAGCAGGCAAATTAAGAAAGGGTTAGTGAGCATTTGAACTTGTCAGAGCAACCAAGCAAGAAGCTTGAAGCTCAAGCCGCCTTTACGCTTTTATCATCTGAAGCACAGGATACAATTTGAGACAGCAAAATTCTCTCCAGTATGTCCTGACAAGCCAGAATGCCTGGGGGCAGCATCTCCCCTACTCAACCATGTGTCTGAGTGAGAGAAAGGCAGCACATGGACAAGGGAAAAGCAAAGGAAGGCCCTCACACATTGTAACACATCTGGACTGATCGTGCAAATGTGGCTTGCTGAAGCAGTACAGAACACTCATTCATAATGGGTACAAAGCAGAAACACTCTTTTTCACTTCCCAGCAACTTTTATACATCAAGCAACTATCAATGCTTGCTATCCCACTTTCTATTCAGGCTTAAGCCCATAGTTTAAGTTTCAGCTCAATTTTATTTTCAATATAGGCCAACTGTTGTCCTGAGTCTAGTTTCCCAGTCTTGGTTAAGGAGAAGCATCCTGACAACATGATGCTGCCACCACCACACCTAATTGTGAGAGGCAATTAGCACTGCTGGTTCTATACCAAACAGTGGTACAGTTTCGCAGCAAGGCCAAGAAGTTCTGTTTTGTTCAGACCAAAGAACCTTTTCCATATTTACTGTGCCTTCCATGTCTTTTTGCAAACTCCAAACAGGCTGAGATTCAGGAATGACTTTCTTCTTTCACACTCCTGCATAAAGCCCAACAATGCAGCATCCAAATCATAATCGTCCGTGGACATTTTTTCCCATCTCAGTTGTGAATCTCCCCATCTCCTCCAGCATTACCACTGGTCTCTTAGTTGTATCTCTACTTAATGTTCTCTCCTTATTCTTCATTGAGTTTTGGCGGATGGCCTTCTCTGGGGAGACTTGCAGTTCAGCCATATCCTTTCCATTTTCTAATAATGACTTAAACAGTTCATGGTTTGGGTGTTCTTTTTTTTTTTTTTATAAATGAACCAGGTTGGTTAGGGTTTTTTTAAAATAGCTTCTTAATGTTCATGATGTTTTTGTTTAGATGTGCTCTCTGACAAATGCTGGAGCCCTCCAGAAAAAGTTTACTTAAAATGACATCATGTGATACTGGAACTGCACACAGGAGGATTCCACTTAACTACACGATTATCAAAAGTGACTTTGGAGGCAATGGGTTGCACTGGAGCGTATTCAGGTATGTCACAGCAAAAAGGGTGAGTACCTGTGAAACCCTCAAGTGCCAGTCTGTTTAATTTATCTTTGGTGCCATAATAAAACTATTTTACACCTTCACAGTGCTGTTATGAAGTGGTAACAATGCCAATCAAAACCATTTTGGTTCCAAGTTACAACACAACAAACATGGAAGGGAGAGGGCAAATACTTCTACGGAGCACTGTACTACTGGCAGGATTCAAGACCAGGTGTTATGAGAGAAGCTGCTTGCAAGCAAAACGTGCGTAGTTTTCATACAGAGTTATTTCACTTATAAATGCTATAAAAATGCAGTACACAAGCAAAGATCACCCTTTTACAAAGGAAAACTATTACAGGCTTAAGTATTATATGCATAAACTTTTGAGAAAAAAGTAAGTTCACTTTTAGTTATTTCTTGACCCTTTTGGTCTAGAGTTTTAACACAGAGCACAAGTACAAATAACTCAAAAGTTCAGTTGCTAGGATACTCCAAGATCAACATTTAAATCATGATGGGAAACTAGAAAGGGAGATGGAGGAGTTCATTACTATTTTCATTAAAGATATAACTAAACCATCTAAAAATAATACCTCCTTCCACCCTGATTTTCATTCTGCCCAAGTATCTACTTGATTTACAATCACCAATAGAGTCAATTACAATGAATCTAAGAACAGGAACATAGCATTTGTAATTAAATCACTAAAAAAAAAAAGCATGAACACAAAGAATAAATTTCTTCTGTACTACAGCTTAGGTTTTAGAAGGTACAGTTGCTGAGCATCTGTCTTTAGTCACCTGTAGCCATAAGGATAAAACATGACAAACACCTCTCACACTCTGCTTAGGAGTTAGGACACACAATAGCATACAACAAGCAAGCTTGCTTTTCTGAACTGTTGCTCACTGCAGATGCTCATATCAAGTTAATAAGTGGCATTTTCAGGTGAAGAAGGCTTAGCTCAGCTCCCTGTATGAGTATCTATCCTTTCTCTCTACCCTGACTTTAGGTTTGTTTACTTAGCGTTTTGCCACTGATACCAATCAAACGTTAAGTGGCCTTACTCAGGAGTGCAGTCACAGCTGAAAAACGATCAATAGCTTAGCAATTATTGTGTCTCACAGAACAGGAATTTAGTGGAATTCAGAACAGGAATTTAGTGGAATTTTCACTCCAATGGATGCCCACTTCATATGCAAGCACACACTGTAGTCAGCATTTAGCCTTAGTGTGAAATGTTCAAACCAATGTTCAGATTAGGTGCTCTTTTCAAACCCCTGTATCATTCTGGGAAGCAATGCATTTCCCTCTGTGCATGTATTTTATTTTTTCCTGATTTTAATGCCAGATCTACCTTTTTGTATGTATAATTATTTATGCTATTTTAATATGTATCAATTGTCAATTATTTTTGGATGTTATTTTATTGGTTGATTTTATACTATGATCATTTTAATGAAAGGTATTGTTTAACTTTTACTAAAATGCTATTTATTATACTGTGAGCCACCCAGAGGGCCTACGGCTAAGGGGGCAGCATGCAAATTAAATAAACAAATAAACACTTGACAATATGCAGACTGCTCAAAAGTTGTTCTCAGAAAGAAACAAAGGCTCTAGCATCAAGCATGAATGTAACCAACCTGCCCATCTCCTTGCAAGTTTAAATTATATGGGTAACTGGATGAGAGCAGAGAGAATATTTTATTCTTTCCCATACTACTAAAACAATGTAACTCTGGAAGCATTCGTGATTTAGAGCCAGAGGCTCTAAAGTTCTTGTTCTTAACATATCTGACCTGCAGTTAAATGCTGAAGTCTATCTGGCATTCTGATTTACTCCCTGAAGTGACTCGTTGAAGAATTCCCATGAAAGGACATCAAAAGCAGCAATAGTTTTGAGAAAGCCAATGAATCCAATTGTATACCTTAGATACCCAGTCCACTGAGGAAATAGAAGCTAATGCTATAACACGAATGGTTAATTCCAAAGGCTCCTTCCCCCAAATGCCATTATCCAAATGGGAGTAGCCTAAAATTTGCCACTTTATTTCAGCAGTACTCACAGAAGAGCTCATTTGAACACATCTTTAGCTATTATGTGTTAGGTGAATTATTGCATGATAAAATTCTCTAACAGGGCTGACATGTTTTCTGCCATTGCTCTGAAATTTCTAGTTAGTGAGCTCACATCAATTCTCTCTCCTTAATAACAAAGGAGAGGTCTGTAGAGGACCAAAGAATACTGTCGAATGATGGGCCAGGATTTTTAAAAACAAGAACACTAGTGGCTTGGCAAATCCACCACAGCTTTAGGCTTGTTTCTCCTCAACAATTCCCTCAGGCCTCCAAGTAGCCCATGTGGAAAGGGGAGGGACTTTCAGAGCTAGTAGTTGGTAATGTTCAAACTCATAAATCCCACTGGGGCTGCTTCCAAATGAAGCTTTTATTACTGCATTCAATGAACTGTATGAAGGCACAGACCACATTTTTATCTTCTGTTCATAGCTATCTCATATTTTCCCACCATTTTTTCTTAGCAGAAAAAATCCATTAAGGAAGAAAATATGGAATAGCTGTACAATACATTTTAATTGTTAGCACGGCGTAGTGGTTAAGAGCATGCGACTGGGACTCAGACGATCTGGGTTCTAGTCCCCACTCAGCCATGGAACCAGCTGGGTGACTTTGGGCCAGCCATAGACTCTCAGCCCAACCTACCTCACAGGGTTGTTGTTGTGGGGATAAGATGGAGGAGAAATGTAAGCTGCCTTGAGTCCTTTGTAGGAAAAAGGCAGGATATAAATCGAAGATAAAAAATAAAAAAAGTCCTATGTCAAAAGACATGTTGGGTGGACCAAGCCTTTGTGTATACCTCAGTGGATATCAGCCACTGAGAACAAGAAGCCCAAGCAAAACAGCAGTTCCCATGAAGGAAAAGATACTCCACTGGGGGTAAAATTCAATGCAGCAATGAGAAGAGTTTAGTGTTCCTGGCAGAATATTAGGGTAATCCTCAACTCTTGCCTTGGCTCAGCTTTCCATAGCATAGTGATTACATTCCAAGATCTAGCAGGGAAAGCGCAATTAAGAATTAGAAAATTTTTAAGACTTCTATACACATAGGACTCTGCTTATTAAGCATAAATACAAGCTGAATTGACTCACCATCACTCTGAGCCTTGCTTTTCATTTCTTCCATCCATGTTGGGATATCTTTCAGAGGAACATAATCCCGTAAATACTCTTTACGCCTCTCCTCCAGTGTCATCTTCAACAAACGTTCTATTTAGGAAACAAATTAGTGCATATTAGAGATTAAGGTTTAGCTAAAGCAAGGTCACAACTACAGTTAGGTAGTCTGAGTACTGTTTTTTGGCAGACACAATAGAAAAGAGTTTGCTAAGGTTACACAAGCAAATTTCACATACAATTTTGACTGAATTTGCTTAATTCTTACCCTAATTTCAGGATGTTTAGGGGTTGCTGCTAGGTGCAACTTTTTATCGTGGATGAGGTAAGTTATTTTTGCAGTTATTTGCACTACATTTCATATTTATTTTGACAGTCCCATACTAATGTGGATTGTTTTATCAGTGCATATTTATTTTAAAATGTTGTCGTCTTCTAGTGAGCCACCTTTAAGTGCAATTTTATTATGCAAATTATGCCACGCTCAAAGCTGTTCATCACATAAAAGCAAAGGAATGCAAAACTATAGAAAAGGCAACCATAAAGCAGTTACCATTGTACTTAGAATTAATATTCTAATTGACACTTTCATTCCCTACCAATCAAACCTTCAGAGATATTATAGCTAATTTATTTCTTAGGCTTCTTTTCTAGCATTTTTTATAAATATACTGCAAACTGACACTTGCCATTTCCTTTGCAACACAGAACCGCATTTAAAGCTTACTTTGTTTTGCGTCACTATTAATTGCTTTGACACAGGACCCAGAGAGGCTTACAATCAGCAACACAATCAAGCACTAGTGAAATATAACTTTGAAAGGTAGCATCCATGCACTAACAAGTTATCATGTTAAAAGGATTTAGTGTTCAGCAACACTAAAAGTTTTTACTATATAAGAAATCCTACTGGAGGCACACGTGACATTCACCTGCCCTGCTTCAGTGGTAGCAGTATGAAGTACATTTGTACTATTGTCCCCATATATGAATCAAGTCCTAAATGTAGCAATTGGTTCAAAGCAATAGGATAAGCTCCTCACACTACCCTCTATATGGAAAACAAAATGGGTTGTCACTTGAAGAGAAACATCCATAATTCTTAAAGTTCTTATTTGCAAAGCTGCACAATGACAGGTAGAGAAGGAGCCCTCTGTCTGGAAACACCCAGCAAGAATGTCAGGATCGCAGGTATGATCGCCTCGATGTAACTGCTGAGTCTAAACTTTTCACCAGGAATATTTTTTAAAAGCTTTCCACAGCTTTACCAATACCCTGAGCTGGAAAAGTTAACAAAGTCCTGTTGGACAGAATGAGAACAGTTTCACATTGCAACTCTTAGAAATAAGCACAGAATTTGAACCTCAGACGTTTTAACCCAAGAGAAATACAATAATCCACAGAGAAGATGAGACTTATGTGGTGTGAAGTGTTAGCCTGCTGTAGCTTTAGCAGACTTAACAGCAAACAGAGGCACAAGAGTTTGCAACACTGCAGAGTCCAGGCCACTTATAAGTGATCCAACAAACCATGAGAAGCTGAAGAACAAGTATTTCAATGTTTTTCTGTTTTTGTTTTGCTATCATACCACAAGTGTACCACTTCAAATCTGTAGGTGCTACTTCGTTTTCTTCTGGCTATGAGAAAAGCCACACAACTACTTTTACTGCTAGTAACTTCATTAACACATCACCACCAGGAGTCTTAACTATAAGCTTTTCTTCATATGTCCTACTTAGGGATGTACAGATTGCTAAATCCACTCCATCTGTCTCTCACGGATTGTCAGGCATCTTTCATTTTGTCATCTGCTCACTGACAGAATAGGGTTTCCAAAATTCGCAGTCATAAGGGAAAGTGTGCAGTCACACGAATGTGTGGCCCCTAAAGTGTGCATTTCTACAAATTCTCTCAGGCTAAAATGTTTTCAGATGTCAGTCTATGGGAGGAACTGTGCTTTGTTTGGTGGGCCTTCATTTTCCATATTTTTGTACAACTAAATTTGCATACAACTGCAGAAAGCAAAATAGAGTTTACAGGTCCAGGTAATCTGGATGGCTCAGAAAACACCAGTTTCAGAAGAACCTGTGGGTTTCACTCATAGAAACCTAAACTCACTTGAATCCATTACAGATTTCTTCAACCTCCTTAGTTCTACTACAGTTTCATCAATACTAGTGAGTACTGTAAAAACAAAGTGAGATTAATTCAAAGTATTTCAAACAAGATGCTGTCAAGATGTCCTGGTCCAGCTTCATAGATACAGAGGCATACAAGATCAAAGCTTATTATACAGTATAAGCTGCACCATATGAACAACAGTTTTTCCAGTTGATATACACAGAAAAAATATATCTTCTATCAGGCTAATATTGAACTAGACCTGCAGGATCTTACACATGTTTACATAGAAGCGTAATAGAATGTGCCTGATGAGCAACTCTTTATCCAGACAAAATGAGATATACAATCAGGGCAGACCTGAGTACTTTTGCTCAAAATGAAGTTCACAAAGAAGGCAATTTCAAGCTCTGTAGTTACAGAAACAGTTTTAATACTATGGAGTATAATACTATGATCTAAACTATACATTGCCAATAGTTTAAAAATGTAGGGACATTTCCTTTACCATTATGCACTGATCCTTAAGGTAAAATATCCCTGCAAGTTACAACACATGCCATTAGAACAAAACTAACACACTCTAAATAAAGTAAGGGCACTGTGTTCCCATTGATTACTTCAATACTATGAATACTTACACTTTAATCAGCAGAGTTGGGTACAAACCAACATCCTTACTTTATTTGCTTCTCTGTAGTTTTTAACTCATAGGCCCAACCCTTTTATAACCACAGTTCTTGAGAGTAGGGTATTAACATCAGCTGGAGACTATGCTCCTCAAGTGTCCAATTTATTTTACACATTGTAGTTAATATACCACCCTTTTTTCTTTGAGGAGGCTTACATAATCCTCCTCCCCCTTGATCTTATCCTCACAACCACCCTGTGAGGTAGGTTAGGCTAAGAGTAGTGATGGGCCCAGTGAGCTTTGTGATCAGGTAGGGACTAGAATCCAAATCTCAGTCCCAGTACAGTACTTGAACCCTGAGCACAGTAAGTTTCCAGGTTGCTCTCCACAGAAGTAGTTAGTCCAGTAGTCAACAGAGGTTACCTTACACACTTTCATATTGAGGGCATAAACAACAAGTTCTTTAAAGCATAACACACACTAACACTCATGTCAACAGAATGGCCTGTAGCATCCCACTAATTCCACAACCACTGCATTAGTGGCACCATGGTAATAGCTTCAGCACCAGAGAGAAAGAAGTGGAAAGGACTCAGTCAGCCTCTATCCACAATTGCCACTTCAGTCTCAAGGGCTTGATATTAGAAAATAAAGTTTCAAGGAAATAGGAAGGAGACACTTTATACTTTCATTTCCAAACTCTAGATTATATTTGCAACACCAATTACAATGAGCGCTGAGAGACACCATGTTTTCTTACATTTCTTCACAGTGAGTAGGACATAAGTTTCATAGTTTGCTCTGTTTTGTAGATACTAAAATGACAAAGGTGGGAAAGGATGACCCAGCAGAAAGTACATAAAGTAGGTGGGATAACCCCTCCTCAGAGAATCATAAAAAGAGTATATCTGTAAAGGCTGCAGTGAAAAGAGATGGTGCACAGAACCCATGTAAGAGGAGGAGTACCAATTCTCGAATTGGAGAGGGGTACCAAAAATATATATGAGAAGCAAAGAAAAAAGGAGAGCACCAGTACTATCAAATAGGATCCCCAAGCAGGCCACGCATAAGGTCTAACATTACAAGCTAACGTTAAAGAGCCACTCATCCAGGAACCCCTGACAAGGCTGTAGCACCAAAATGTCAAGCCCGGGCCCCTCATAATTTCACTGCTACCCCCATAACTTGGGTCCCTCCGGGAGCTGAAGCAGATGCTATGCCTATTTTGTACCCTCCTATTTACTCCCCATTGAAGGAACGCGAGGAAGCAGCACTGCTCCCGTGAAGAGGGGAGAGAAACAGTTAGCTAAGGATGGGGGGGGGGGGGGAGGGTTTGAAAGAAAAACACCACACTAAGAGACGTGGGAGGTGAGGCGAGAGGAGGAGGAGCTTTGCTGCCCTGCCAAGGTAAGACGGAGGTAACAGGAAGGAGAAAGCGGAGGACTGACTACTATTGCCCTGAGCTACCGCGGGGAGGGGGAGCAGCATCTTTTGCACGCTCCTGCACCTATCCTGAAGGAAGCTGGGATGGGGGCCGCCCCGACTGACTCTCCTGCCGGGGGGCGAGAGGATCGATGCAGGACGCTCGGGCAGAGGGGGCAGTACCTTTCTCTTCCCTCCAGATCTTTTTCCGTTTGTTCCCGGGGTACATGGTGCTGTGGCTGGCGGCGGCTTTGAGCTGCAGGTTCCCCAGGCTCACAGGCGACGGAAGAAGCACGCTGACCCGGCGGCGGGACTCGGACGACAGCACCGCGGCGGAGGGGTCGGCGGCAGCGCTGCTAGAGCTAGGGCTGGAGCTGGCGCCGAAGCCGCTGTGTGTACCTCCGCCTCCCTTCACTCCCCTCTGCTCACAGCGCGCGTCAACTGGGTCACGCCTCGCTCTAACCCGACAGACACCCCCGCAGCTCCCGCCTCCCTTTCGGCCGCCCGTTGGCCCCGCCGGCCGCCGCTCAGCGACGCGCTCCGCCCCCTGCGCTCCCCAGCTAACCGCAGCCGCGGCTAGGAGGGGAGGCTTTTAAAGGGACAGTAAGCACGGAGAGCGTGCCTTGGCAGGGCGGGGGGAGCCGAGGCCCCGCTCGAGGAAAGCCAGCAAAACGAACTGGCAGCGCTCCCTGGGTGTTTGTAGGGGAGCGGTGGCGAGACTCACGCCCTTTGGGGCTGAACTTGTGCGAGGGATAATCGGATCTCTTTTGGGTACTTACTCGGAAGTCCACTCCCAAGTCAGGGTGTACGTGTGCCCTACAAAGTGATCAGAGTTAAGTTGCAGAACCATACAATACATAGCAGAACTTGCTTCGGGGGGAATCGGATTACGATTGTACTGTCAGGCTGCCCTGTCGTTCTCCAATTACCTGGGAACCAGCCTCCACTGGGCACACTAGATTCAATTTTGAGTAGGTATGTATTGGAGCATTTATATCCCGTCCCTCCTCACAAAGAGCCCTCATGCACGAGCAACTTAAGAGCAGATGAGGTTTCGGCTTAAAGAAGACCGTGATAGTCTTCCAGAGTCTTCTCTCCAGCAGTTATTTCTATAAGAATATGCTGTACCATCCGCGTAAAGCATGCACTCTGCACGTGCTCAATGAACGCTCAGACTTTGTTACACATTTTGGAACTCAGAAGTCCTCTAGTTCAAATTTGGAGAAAGTTCTTGATGAGAGACAACTCCTGAACCATTAGCATTATGCACATACCATCCAGTTAGTCTGGTAATGACTTAATTGTATCCCTGCAATTACAAGAATCTGTTTCCTAAGTAGGTCTGGATGGTTTTATTTTATTAAAAGAAATACAATGCCCTTCATATATAACAGCAATTCGCATGGCTGCCTCTGTAGTACGGAATATTTTACTCGCTATCATAATGAATGCAATCAGATCTACAAGTATACAGGTGTGTTCAAATCACTCAGCAACCCACAAGAAATAAAGCCATAGGAAAGTGTGTATAGGCATGAAGTCATTCTCTCTTGGATGGAAGAAGTTCTAGGAGAGGGGAATATGGTGTTTACATGAGCTCAGATTATAATGCATCAGCGATTCGAGTTTGTACTTCATAAAGTGAGCCCACGCCCATTCTGATTGTTCAGTATCTCTCTTCAGATGGGTCTACTGGTAAATGCTTATTTGCTGTTATGGTGAGGTAACATTAAGGATTGTACCACTGTAGTAAACTCATGGGGACTATCAACCATATTTCAGAGGTTCTGCACATTCAAACATAGACTCACCTCCGTACAAATAAAAACCTAGAATATAGAGGAGAAAAGCTCTTGCTCAATATTTTGTTTGCTATGCTGGGTTTTTATTTACAGATAAGTGAGCAGCAAAACATATTTTTATTTACCCCGTTTCTCCAACCGGACAAAAATGGTGAAGACACGGTTCTTGCTTGATTACCTCTGAAAGGAGATGATTAGCTTAATTGTCAACTTATATTTGCACTTCTTTACTAATCTACATATTGAGCATGAGATAAATCACATCTTAAATATTGCACTCGACAGCCAAAGTCCACTGTTCCCCCATTAGATATCCAGGTTAGTAGACATAACCCTAAGACAAGGTTGGGTAGGAGGTGGAGTGGTATTTACTGCCAGATCGCCAGGTGATTTGGCATAACTCACCAAGGGTTCCTGGTTCCCAGTGATTTAAGAATAGCAGAAATCACCACCACTACCCCAACTGGGTTGCTAGAATCAAGAAAGCTTGAAGGAAAACAAGAGTAACTTTGTGTGGGAACCAATACAGGCACTGAAAATAAATTCTGGGACTAAGCATATACCCCTTTTCTTCTGTTTGTTTTGTTGAATCAGTATTCAGCACTTAGCTGAACTTTAGGTTTATAGTGAAAAACAAAGTTGATCCTAGAAGCCTAAAGTTTATGTGCCATGCCCTAGGATGATGTCAGGGCCCAATTTAATTTGGAGCATACTCCTCCTCTGAGTTAAAAATGCAGTCTCTTCACTAAAAGACACCTGGATTACCTCATCCTTGGCTGGGGCAAGTCAGTTTTTTCCCTTTGCAGAACTTATGTATCAATAAACAATTGTCTAATCATTTAACTCCCATGGCAATTCAACACCTGTAGCTTACCTAATGACAGCAAAAGAAGAAGGGGATGGCAGAGGATGAGTTGGCTAGATGGAGTCACTGGGGCAGTGGGTCATGGGCTTGCATGGACTCCGAGGGATGGTGAAGGACAGGAGAGCCTGGAGGAATGTTGTTCATGGGGTCATGATGGGTCAGGCACGACTTTGAGACTAAACAAAAAAAACTTACCCAACATAATGATGGCCTTGGCCAGCAGGTTTAAACAATTTAAGCAGTTCTCCAGGTTCCTTAAGTCTCTAGAACCCTTTCCCTGTCCAAACTTACAACAATCTGTGATTCTCTACCCCACATGCATGCACAGACTTGGTTGCAGGCACATTGTGTGGAAACATATTGTGCACATTCCAATCCCGGACTGGTTGCTGGTTTGACATCATGAAACACAATTTTAGTTTGGCTGCTTCTGTGAATGTTCCAGGTGCTGTTGATTACCCACAAACTGCAATGCAAGAGGTTTTTTCATCCTTGACACCTATTGACCACCATCTTCACCTTGTAAATTACATGTTCACATGGGGAGTAAGCATCAAGCCTGTCCTTCCTATCTTCAGTTTCACAATCAGTTGATTTTTCTAGCCATCCTAATACACTTAGAACACAATCCAATGCCCTCTACACTCAGAATCTTATATGCATCTAATACCTGGTACAAGGCATAGCAGCAATTTCTGCTGCCCCACACTTCATGTCCATCGCTTAATCTAGGCATTCTTTCTGCTTGCAGGCTGTGAGTGGAGCAAATCAAAGGTTCAACAGAATCCTAGCTCTGCAGCTGCAAGACAGAGAGCTGGGGCTCCAAATATTCCTATAGCTCAGTAAACAGTATCAGGAGGCCATAGGACTGCACCCTTAAATAGCAATCCTATGGCCCCTGGATGTGCATCCTCAGAACCATAGGATGGCATAGCAACCCCTTCCAAGTTGGAGAAAATGTTGGAAAATAAAACTTGGAGTGTGAGAAAGGGGGCATTCTGTAGGCAAGGAAAGAGAGAAGGTGGAGAAGTCAGGCTATGAGTAATTCTGAGCCACCTCTCCTCCAAAGCCTGTTCAAGCCAAAATACAGGAGAGGTGAGGTGGTAAAACTCACCTCTGCCACTCTTCCTGTTACCCAAGTCTGGGAAGCCTTATAAAGCAGTGAGTTTGCCTGGTGTGCTTGACCAATAACAGACCAGCTGAGAGAGCTATTTGGAAGGAGGCAGCTTTATTCCAAGAATAACAGAGACTACACGCAAGCAAGCAAAGCAAGGCTTATGTGTAGCACCCACCCAAACTGCACAGATGTCTAACTTTTATAATGCTGATTACACATTCTATTCCCCCTCCCTCTGCTCCTCTTATTGTTCGAGTGGCATGTTCTTGCTCCACTCTAACCTTGCTCCAACTAGTTTAGCTATCCCATCCTTGCCTTTCTTGGTATTTGGGAAGAGTTGCTTCCCTAGTTTATACAAGCGCTAGCCATCACTGATTAATTGGGGTGTCTCTGAGCCTTGAGGTTTATGATTAGGGCATATTTGTCTATTACTTCCTGCAAAAAAAGAAGTATCTCCAGAGAAAGATGAATGTCAGAAAGATGGATAAACTAAAGGCCTTTTTCATACATGCTTTGCCAAGCCCATTTTTTTCCTTTTTGACTGTATGAAGGAGCAGCCTATCATATGAACCTCACCTGGAGTTCAAAAGGATACAGCACAGAAATTGGTATATCACCAGGGTTTATTAAAAGACAGACACAGCAAGCCATTCAAAATGATGACCATCACTGCAACTTATGGTAGCACATTTCATAGGGTAAAAAAACCTGTTTTAATCTGTTCAAGGAAAACCAAGAAATAGTAATCTATGAATACATTTATTTATCATTATTTAGGAGCTATTAATCAGGTTGTAACATTTAGAATTACATAGAATTCTGATCTTCAGCAACCAGAGCAAGATATAACTTTTTTCAGAATGAAAGAATTACGAGTCCTGGAATTTGTTTTGAATACCAGAACTAAACTCAAGTCCTTGCACTTAAACTCCACCCCTGGTTACCAAGCTTTCTTAATTCCAAAGTGGAATTTGGGAGGGGGGAGAGCAATTTTCTTGCTGCTGTGATCTACTCCAAATCATCGAAAAATCTTCCAGGGGATCCAAAACTACCTGAACCCATTATATGGCTGCAGGCTTAAGTGCTTGTCCTATCCGTGTCTCGAAAAGCATCTGGAGCTTCCCTCCTGCTACTTTAAGGCTCAAAAGATACGCGGTCTCTAATATCGACAGCAACCCTCCCCAGCCTGGTGTCCTCCAGATGTTTTGGAGGACGGCTCCCAACATTCCTGACCAAATACTGGGATTGATGGGGGGGTTATGCCTCCCAGTTTTTGGGATTACAACTCCCATCAGGCCCAACCAGTGGTCAGGAAGATTTGGGGTATAGTCCAAAACACTTCGCGGTCCCCAAGCGGGACGGAAGACTTCTCGTCTGCAGGGAAGGACAACAAAGCTGACCCATCCCGGCCTTGAGCGCTCCGGCTCCTACTCTCCTCCCGCCGCCCGAGAACACGGTGCTTTTCCGGGTGGTAGGTCAGCGGGAGCTCGAGCGATATGATTGGCTGGCCGTGAAGAGAACCGTTGCTAGGTAACCGCGTCAGGGCTGAACCTCGCCGGAACGGGGGGGGGGGCGAGGAGGCGGTGCAGAGGGAGGCGGGGCGGTGTCACTCGGGGACGAGCCCGCCTTTGCCGGGTTTGTGTGATGCGCC